CCCCTCTCTGGCAGCAGAATATAATTCCTCTCTTTGATTACTGCTTTTCAGATACTTAAAAGTTCCTGCATATCCTTAATCCTGTCTTTGCAGGTGAAATGTACCCAGTTCCTTGCATTTAGAAAAGGGAACAACTCAAAGGAAGCAGCCTCAGAACTTTTCTCTGATATGCTAATGTTCTGCATGCAGGGATCTTGAATTGTATTTAGTCTCCAGTTCTCTCCATTTATAGACTATTCAGGTTTTATGTCTTTGTTTAGTTAATAGTCAAAGAACTCCAGTGATGACAAAAATTCACAGGGCATTATTTAATAAGTACATCACAAAACATGTTGTATTTCCTTTTTCCATACTAAGAAAGTCACAAATTTCAAGAGACATAACAGGCTATAAAAAAAAAAAGAACAATCCGGAAATATGGAAGAAAATGGCTTGAAGAGGAAGAGAAGGGAGTGCCAGTGTTTAATGTGGTCCAACTGTAAAAGAAGAAAAAAGATGGCACACCCGTTAGGAAAACTGGCCAAAAGTGTATCCAAAAAGAGACATAATAATGGAACATGAAATGTTTGCAAGGATTTCATTTAGAATCTACAACTAATACGTGTTTGGAACTGTCCTAGCAATTCCTAACCCACAAATCTTGACCCAAAGGGAATATATGTATAAAAAAGCTGTGTGAAAGGGCATGCCAGATATGATGATGGAGGAGGATTTTTGTTTTCAGCACAAAATACATTGTTGGGTTTTTTTTACTGCAGATGGTGGCACTGAAGATGGAACAAGCATCCAAAGGCCACATATAAAGCCTTTAGACCAGGGGTAGGCAACCTTGGCTCTTTTATGACTCGTGGACTTCAACTCCCAGAATTCCTGAGCCAGCCATGCTGAGGGGAAAGGGAGAGGTTTCCAAGCTGAGCCATGCTGGCTCAGGAATTCTGGGAGTTGAAGTCCACGAGTCATAAAAGAGCCGAGGTTGCCTAGCCCAGCTTTAGACCAATGTTTCTCAACCTTGGCAACTTTAAGATGTGTGGACTTCAACTCCCAGAATTCCCCAGCCAGCCTTGCTAAAGTTGAGAAACGTTGATCTGTGGAGTCCTTGCTGTTTTCTGAGTTGGTTGTTTGCTTGCAGACGTCTCATTACCGAATTAGGCAACATCATCAGTGTGAAGTAGGGTGGGGGTCTATTCAATTTACAGACAGAATCTTTGCTCTGCTGGTGGTTAGTGGGGTGTGTGTTTTTATCCTTGGCAGAAAGCAATGATGTAACCTAATTGGGGAATGACATGTCTGCATGAAAACCAGCAAGCTCGGAGAGCACCAAGGACTCCACCACTGAACCCTGAGCTACAGATATTCTCTTCTACTGAAACACTGATTTTGGATTATTGATTTAATCTTTTCATTTTTACTGTCTGTTGCTGAGCTTTGCTGGCTGAGGAATTCCAGAAGTGAAAATCCGCACCCTTTCATTTATCCCAGGGGTCTTCAAACTTGGGCCTTTTATGACTTACGGACTTCAACTCCCAGAATTCCTCAGCCAGCGTGCCTGGCTGAGGAATTCTGGGAGTTGAAGTCCACAAGTCATAAAAAGGCCAAGTTTGAAGACCCCTGATTTATCCCAATATAAGCTGTGAAAACTGAGGCAATTTGCCCAGCTCAAATCCACTGTTCGAGGTTTTCTATGCAGGATTCATTCCCTAGCATTGCCTTTTGAGGCCCAGGGCAGCTTTCTGATCCCAGTGAAGCAGAGACGGGAAGAAAGGTTTCAAGTCCAGCCTGGAAATTCATTATAATGGTTTTAAGCCTCCCCTTGCAATATAGATTTGCCCCTTCACAAGAAAAGTATTTACAGGGCGTGGTGAGCGGTTGTCTATCTTTTAAGACAGTGGTGGCGAATCTATGGCACGAGTGCCAGAGGCGGCACTCGGAGCCCTCTCTGTGGGCACACATGCCGTTGCCCCAGCCTTGCCTCCCCCCACGACCCCCTCCTCTCCAGCAGCCCCCTTGGAGGAGAGTTGTCCCCGAGCGTGTCCCACACGGAGCAGCGCAGCCAGGGACATGGCAGCCAGCCAGCATAGACAAGACTCTGCCCTCATGCCCCATCCCGCACAGTTGATGCTGCGGGGCGCGGACAGAGGGCTGAGCTGAGCTGCCTGGGTGATCTGCAGTGGGTGGAGCAGGGGTAGGGCCAGTTTTTGGGCACTCGGTCTCTAAAAGGGTCGCCATCACTGTTTTTTAAGACAAGCCAGGTGTTTAAAGCAGTGGCTATGCTGGCTAAGTTATTATGAGAATTGGTGCCCACCATATCTGGAGAACTGTCAGAGCTGCCCTCCTTTGCTCAACTCGATGCTTTGACAGATGTCAATCTGCCATACATTATGGGGGGAGGGAAGCTGGGGGGGGGGAGGGAGATAGAGGGGAACCTGAAAGGAAGACATGGGAAACAAAAAAGGGATAGTTGTGGAGACATCCGAAGGCCGTGGCCCTGGGAATGGAACGCAGCACCCATCTATCTAACCAAACTACACCAGGGACTGTTACCAAAACGTCTTGTCTGAATGTGAATGAAGAAGGGGGAGATAATAGGGGTGGACCAGGGAAGGAAAACCTAAATTGGGGATCTTTGCACTCAAACTCTTAGTCCTGGCTTTGCTCGCTGTAATTAGTCAAAGTAACATTTTCACTACAAATGGAATCCAGAATGTTTCTTGTCTGGCCCAGGTCTGACAAGAACTCTGGATGAGGGAAGGTGGCTTTAAACCCTCTTTTATGGCTTGCAGTTCTTTTGTGGTACTCATTTTTACTGCATGGGGGTGGGGAGGAAACCTGTGGGGAAGAGAGAAGATTGCAGGGCAAGGAACAGATGGTAGAAAAACAGTTTCAAACTTGCTCTCTCATGCCCGCAAGGCTCTTTTAAATTCCTCTCTGCTTGTGGTTCCTCTTCTGTGCTATCTGCATCATCTCACCGCTATTTTTTTATATATAAAATCACTAAAAGGACAAAAGGTGAAGATAAAAAAAAATCCATGGTTGTTTTCTTTAGGAAAAATTGCCTTGGGGATGGGGGGGAGGGAACTTAATCGGCAAGCGAGGAATCACGTGACACGATCTTCTCGGCTTCTTCCGAAAGGCACCCAAAGATGCTTTTTCAGAAGGCGACTGGACTTCCTTTGTTTTTCCTTGAAGATGTTTCGCTTCTCATCCAAGAAGTTCATCAATGACTTGGACGAGGGGATAGATGGGGAGCTCATCAAATTTGCAGACGACACCAAGCTGGCAGGAATAGCCAACACTCCAGAAGACAGGCTTAAGATACAGAAGGATCTGGACAGACTTGAACACCGGGTGCTATCTAACAAAATGAAATTCAGTGGTGAAAAAAGTAAGGTTCTACATTTAGGCAAGAAAAACCAGATGTACAGGTATAGTATAGGGGGTGCCTTGCTCAATAGTAGCAACTGTGAGAGGGATCTCGGAGTCCTAGTGGACAATCACTTAGATATGAGCCAGCAGTGTGCTGCAGCTGCCAAAAAGGCCAACACAGTGCTGGGCTGCATTAACAGAGGGATAGAATCAAGATCACGTGAAGTATTAATACCACTTTACAATGCCTTGGTAAGGCCACACTTGGAATACTGCATCCAGTTTTGGTCAC